TCCTCCACGCCGGCGAACGTAACGGCAGTGATAAAATACGAGAAAAAATATAAACTAGGAAAGGACAACTTTTGAGTTTTGAGTGACACCGTTTTTTTTGAGGACGCGAATGCCCTATTGATTTATTTCAGTTATTATCTTCCGAACAGCCTAAAAACGAAATGTAACTAGAAAATGATTTAGTTCATGTCTGTAACATTATATTATACGGCACTATGTAAGCTGAGCCTGGTGGTGATCGAAGTCGGACGAAGATGCATTGTTGGACGTTTGGCTGGCTCGCTTCGACAGATAGGTAACTTCTGCGAAGAAAACTATCTTGTGCCATTACTTTCAGCAAATGCTTTGACCAGGGACAGATTTGTGCAGGATCACAAAGTCGCAACGTTGAACTCCACCGAGGACCGCAGTGTCTAACAGCAGCGACAGCTACACCCGGCCAGCCGACCGCCCCCTGGCTCCCACTGCGCTACCATCGATACCAAATCACCACTGGCGCATCACGAGAAGAGCTATCGAGATATCTTCGTTTGCTGTTGCCCATCGTCTCTTGTCGTTTTTCCCAAATGTTTCGTTTTCTGGCTTTCCTACAATGTCTGCTAAAGCCTGTGGATTTTGGATGATTTAGCTCCGCTGTCGCTGTCGTTGTCGTAGTTGCTTCAAACAACCACTGTAACGGCAATCGCAGCATCAACATCAATGGTCCCATCAACGACGAGTCAAGGGCAATAGCGTCAATGCACAGCAAAAAAAGACGATCAACAGTGATTTCACTGGCGGCGGGAAGGTTAGCCAGAAAACCGTCGACGTGGTAAGCTAACTAACGGCGACGTGCACAGGTGGGGCTGACGGTGAACAAGTGCGCTGTAGACACTGGGCTACAGAAATAGTACCACAGGAGACAAAAACGACGAAGTATCACGTGGAACGATACAGAGCACACAGGCGCTGAATTTGAACCAGCCAGTCGAAGCTGAAACCATTCACATGACGATAACGAATAACGAAGCGACGCATTGTCGCCGTCCGTCTGTGGTGGTGGTGGCGTCGTCGTCGTCGTCGTCGTCGTCTCCCCCTACCCTCCACCGCGCGTCTTCACCATCAACATCGCCACCGTCTAGGTCATAGTCGCTGTTACCATTGTTAACAGTCATCCGAATCGTGTAAGAGTCGAGAAGAAGAAGTATCTGCTTCCGAAGACTACTCGCTGTCGTCTTCGTTGACAAACCAATCAGCGAGCGAACTAACGAAAAACGAGTCGATTTTTCCTCATCCATTGTCGAGTCGACTGACTGACTTCTTCTGTTTAAAGTGACTTTTCTTTCGCCATAGCTGCTAACAGTGAATGAGTCAGTCAATCCAGCATTCAGCAGTCGAATGAAAATCGTAGCCGAAATCGTCGGGTCATTTGACTGTCGTACGCGTGCTGGCGTTTGCTATTGTGCTTAGGGACGTAGCCTCAGGTGTCCCCATCATGATTAATGCTGCCCTCCCAACCCAGCGCCGTCTCTCTTCCCCTTGCTATTGCCGTCTGGGTCATAGAAAACGAGCAACATCAAATTCCCGCAAGAGGAGTTCGATAGCTCTGAGTAGGCTGCAAGGGACTGATTACAGCCAGGCCCAACTTTGTAATAGATCTCCATCGTCGCTGGTCTTGCGACGGTGACGAAAGTTGCGGTCACAGTATTGAGATTGAACAAAGCGCAGACTGATTGGCTTCGAGCTCGATTCGACATCGTTGACGACTATTTGCTCGCCGTATGCTTGTCGTGATCCCTGCTCAATAGAACGACTACGTATAATCTCGATTTCGTTCACAAAAAACACAGACACGAATGGATGGTTGCATTGATATAATAAAGTAATGGTTCAATAATGTTTTTGTATTACCTCAAACGTTGCCTCTGGCCAAATATGGGGCCGTGATTTGAGCGTCAGTTGCATATGGCCGCCGTTGGCTTTTCTAGCCACACGATCGTCTAGCCGTGCCACCTTTATATACTGAATCAAAGCTCTCTAAATGTTTTTTTTTTTCGATGTGCATATTATCCTTTATATATCATGTCGGTATTTGATGTCCTTAAAATAACCCGAAGGCTTAAACATATGTTGCACTTGAATCTAGAAAAAATCTATCAATTTAGCTGGCTAGACATCGATAAGGCCTTACTCCTACGTTTAGTATTCATATCTAGAAAAGATATCACTCTTAAAGCTCTTTCAGGCGTCCAGGACATGACTTGCTTAATCAGATGGGACAAATATATAGGGACTATGCAACAGAAACGGTACAGGCCAGTAACTATCTCGCTAATTCTAAGTAATGCTTCAGGGACACATCAGCAGCGCAGTAAGTCAAAAGCCATTTGCACATACGGTAAATTGTAAAACGTGTCTAAGTTCCAACATTGCCGCTCGTTTGTAGTTTTGGTTGTTTTCTTCCTGTCCGACAAATTGTACCATTTTCATGGGGTCCTATGGTAATGCCAGTGGTAATTTATAGGCCTGATGACATCGAAGTATTAAGTCTCTGGCATAAGCCTTCTTGTAACTTAGCAACGCCGTAGCAACCGTAGCTTCTAAGAACTTCTGTAACTGTATGCACTTTTAAAGGAAAAAGTTCATGTTCGTCACGCAACTCGCTCCGAAAAAAAATTGCCTTCGGGGGCTTTCTGAAGAATTGTTATGTACCGCAAAGAAGCTTGTGACGGAACACATCAATGGAGAACAGTAGAAGAATATAGACTTATGGTAGCTATTGATGTATAATAGATTACAGTTGTAATCTTTGGCGCTTGAATCACTCACACCACTCAGATAGATGTCAAATTATAATGGGTTCAACAAAAGGTAGACCTAGCTTGTTGGTCCTGTGCTAGGTAAATTAGCTGTCGAACAATATAAAAGTCTTACTTCTTCTATCTTCAGTACATTCATCGTCACACAAGGCTTGCATTTATTTCTGCTATTGGCACATCGGGATATTTCGAACGCTTTCGCGGTACTTGCTGCCGACGGCTTTCTTAAATGTTGAAATGACACGTTTTTTTGACACCATTTTCATAAGGATTATGGGCGCCATAGGATGCGGTGACAATGAAGGAAACTTTTTTACCTATTTGATAACATGTTACACTTCTTTTCTACTTTCATTTCGGGTCACTTCAAAGGAAACTCTCCCCGTTGATTCTGGCTAGCGCACGTATCGAAATAATATGTAATGATAAGTTGTTGCACGTTATACAGTCGTGGAATCGGCAAGTGAATGCAGAACGTTTCGCCATTGTACGATAATGCAAATGTCGGGGATTAATAAGCAACGAACTCTTTTCCGCACAAGTTCAGGTCCAGCGCGGCCGAGCTGGTAAATTTCTTGGGATGAGGAGTTCAATCGAGCGTGAACGTACCGACGGTATCATAGATTCGCTTACGAACTAATCAGTACGTCCGCAAAGATCTTGTTGGATCAAAGTAACCTGCTCTTGATAACAGTTATTTTTTCAATGCGGAGCAGTAAGTATGTGCGTTTAGCGTAGTCTCGTTAGTTTGTTCGTCTTATGCCAATTGGGTTCGCGCAAGTTTAAACATTGGCTGCTGGATTTTTAGCATTTAACTTCCCTAGTCTAACTTGGAAATCAGCCACCATCTACAGAAAGTCGTTGAGAGCTGTCTTGTTACGGTTCCGTCGACACTACATTGGGGGGGGAGCTGATCAGCAGTAGCTCCATGTGGAGTACATCCACACGAGAAATACGGGACAAGCGGGGTTACTAGGCTTGATCACGTGGCCAGCACTTCAGCTGCTAACGTAATGATAAAGCTAATTGTTTTCGTGCCGCGAAAAAAAACTATGCTACCAAAACGGGGTCGTTGGTTAAATGGAGAAGAATTGTTCTCGCGCAAGTGAATCTTTCGGCAACAATTGACCCAACTTCATCTGGGTTCATCGCTAAATTGCCATTGGCAATCAGCCTCTGAAGTCGCTGCGAAAAGGCGCAATGGCAGCAGCAGCGCGAAGACCGACCGGCAGACGAAGTGGCGCAGTTCCTCGCTACCATACTTGACAAAGTGGGGAAAAAGACAGCGGAAGAAGGTGGAAAACGGGCTGAGTACAGTGTCTAAATAAAACTAACTTTGAAAACATTTTCTTCTTGTGCTTTGTACGCTCAATATATATACCGAAATCTACTATGAACTACGTTAGAAAGAGGGCGCCCAAAGCAAGACAAGACGGCAGAATAGCCACTATGATTAGGATGTTATTGGTACTAGCTCTTCTATCATTTGGAGATCGTTTGCTCTCATTAAATTGCGAGTGTTAAGGCTGCCTCTATGAATGCATTACCTTTGATTGCTTTTCGTTTTTAAGGCAGATTATAAAGATATAATTTAAGATGGCTCCGAGAGGTCCAATTCAACCGATAATTTTTTACTAAACTGTTTGCCAATAGATATTTCTATATTGTGGTACTCGAAAACAACGCTATTCCAGTAATACACCCTAAGGAAAAGGAATGTTTTCTACAAGACTTAAGTTCGTCCGTTGTGACCTAATATGTAGCAGTTGTAATAGCGGAACGATCGACTGTCGCGACCCGCTAACATAGTATGAAATCGGTCTCCATAGCAACATAATATCTGCGGCAAGCATTTGGCCTGAATCTTCGCGCCGAGATACTAGGTGCAATGTTAAGAAACTAGCAATCGTGGAGAAAAATGGCACCTTTTCCCAAGTATATCATACAAAGGAAAGATAAACATCAGAGAGAAAGACGAACCCATCAGGACATTTACTGGGTTAAATTAACTTTTTCGACGAAACGTTTTAACAAAACTACCTGCCTCGTCGAAGGGTACCTAATATAAAAAAGTACTATCGTTGCACTGATACTGAGCTAATGAGCAGCAGATAACGTATTTACACTCTATGAACCGTTCGACCGACCACCGATAATTAGACTGTTCTCCACCGCGTCTTCGACACTTCGGAGCGCGCTTACCTCTGATTAACGGAGGATCGAATGTCCTCAGAGCAGTTGTGACCGTGCCGACCGTTGAGCACCTTTACGTACGTGCCGGGGTCCGTATGGTTACAGCGCTGCTCCAGCTCGTGCAGAGGAAGTTGGGATGTGAAGCGAGCCTCGTGCACCACGACACGCTGAGGAGTGTCGCAGTGAAGACGAACATCATCATATCGACTGCACGTCGACACGGACTGGAGCGCTGCAAGGAGACAAGCAATACCAAACGGTTAATAGAAAGTGGATTTCAAACGACTTTTCATTGGCTTGATTACTATTAAAAAAATCCTCATACTACAGAAGCATAAATATGCTGTACTTCTCATTAGTAATACAACACGAGCAGAAGATAATTTACGAGGCACAATTATTTTGAACATTCGGTTGATTTGCTCGTTTAGAACGGCTTATTCATACACTCAGCGATAAGATCATGGTCATGGCACCATACAATATAAATCAGTTGTTGGACAAAACTCTAGTCGAGATTCGATGGAACTTCACATGGCAATAAATCAACTTCACGCGATAGTTGAAGTCAGTCAACTCAAATTATCCGTACGATGTTGGTTGAAGTTGAAATTACTGAATTAAATGAGATTAATTCGCATGCAACCGGCCGGCAGTACCTACGCCATTGCTACAAATAACGGGCGGCAATTGGACCAGACTGTTCTCGGATGCAGCAGCTAGCATCATTCAAGAATAGCTTTTCGGGCCTCCAAGCACGATAACTAAGACAATGGATCTCTAGCATTATCTTGGCGATGACGCACCGGCAGGCAGGGGTTGCTTAGCGAGCTCTCGTACGCCGGTCCAGTTGCATGCATGCACGCGTCGGACCAGCTCAGCACTATCCTACTGCAAACTGGTACGCGACGGTTATGAAGGACTCTGGCCGTTCTACCGAACTTGGGTCGTAAATACATCACCAGGCATCAGCTGGAAGGAATCACCGCAAATTGGTTAACTTGGCGATCGATTGCCCAGCCCGTGCGCGCGTCAGTTGAAATCAGGAATTTGTATGAAAAAAAGATGACGGGAAGGGACGTCCACTGTGTGCGTCTTCTCCAATTAGTGACAAATTAGCTCTCGCTGAATCAACGGTATCATAAAGCTGCATTTAGAAGAGCAGACTCTAACCCCGCTGCTAGCACGTTGAGAAAAAATTACCGATCGTTTACAGAACATGTTAGTTTTATCTACGATTCTGTTTATATGTGACAGCTAAGATTTATAATCATAATTCAATCCTAGCTGTAGCCTTTAAGTGCTACTTTAATGGCCAGCTACTATCTGGATCAATGTCTGTACATGTTCGCGTATTTTTCCGCGTCTTCTCGTCCTTCCGATCCATTTTAGATCTCCGAAGGTAGTGCCTTTTATCAACGGATGGTGTGCAGCGGCAACAGCAACCAGATATTTGTATAGAGTTCTAGTGAGTGGTACACTAGATCGATTGGCTGGCTGTTTTGCTAATTCGTGACCGCAGTACAACACACAATCAGTTCATCTTCTTGGAATCATTTACCCATTATCACTATTCTACGTCTAACGCTCACTAGAGCCATTTAGGCATGTGCTGATGTGCTGCCGGAAATAATCTGCACGTACGCAACCCATTGTAGAGTACCACTGAACCAACTAGATCCTTTTCATTCCCCACTACCCTTGTTACAGCCAACCAGCCCATAACTAGATACCCAACTCGATCGGAAAAGCTATACGGTGTCTCTAGTAAAAGCACCCACATTGACGAAAATCGCCACAACGCACCGTATAGGCTATGCCGTACGATCTGCCGCCGCTACTGCTGCTGCTGGACTGAATCGCGCTAGCGATAGTGGGGCGTTACTTTTTTTGAATTTGCGCGCCCCAGCAAGTTCCGCATTGGCCGCATCCTGGCCGTCGCTCGTTCTCACTTGTTTACATGAATTATATTTACGGTTATCCTTCCCTGGAGGGTCTACTTTTGTACTACATGCCACGCATCTATTTATGCCTGTGTCAATAATTGAAGAGCACTAGTCTTAGATAAGCAGCTGTAGCAGTGTGCTCATATCGTACGCCGCTGTGACCCAACGGTGGGACGTAAAGGGCCGCTGTTCGGTAAAGGGACTGATGATGCCTAGATTAACTGACCAAAGCGAAGCACGAAAAACAAGATACTGGCCAACAATTCTATTATACAGGACACCGATCCTGACCTGAAATTGCATGGATGAACAGGCGCTATTAGGTATTTTGTTTTTGTCATCACCAGACATATCGGAGTAGAAGTAGTAGCGGGACGCATCGTCAACCAACCGCTCGTCATCAGATATGATTAACTGTGTTAGCATATTGTATATGATCTGGTTTCTCTTCTCAGCGTCTTGGCATTGTGACGTATGTGACGTTTACCACCCTCCACCCGTAATTTCGCGTTCTGCTAATTTTGTCGAGCGTCATGTGGAGACCAAACAGGCCAAAGGCTCTTCAACGAATGGAACAATTGAAGGCTTTCGGATCTATTGCTGCTGTTACGATGTGCAACAGCATCTATACGTTGAAGATTAGTGCTAAACAGTTGGCTTTGAAAATGTAAGGTTTCTATTTTTGATTATCACCCCCGATCGCTCCGAACAAAAGCAGACAGAATAATTCAGAAATAATGAGAAAAGATCAAGCTATCTCTGAGACCAGCGATAGCTTCCGAGAGTAGAAACAAAGCGTTCCGATCTCGTGGCGACAGCTATAGATATTGTTTTCTAGGTCGGCTCTGTTGCTTGCGACCAACATGTTGCACATGCACAGACGCAGCGAAAGTTACGGATGTCTTAAGTTGAAACGATAATAATTCCGAGTTCTCGCAGATTTACCTAAACGATATTATCAAAAATGAGAAAAAAAAACTTGCAATACATCAGCAGTCTCCGCCATTATGTCCTAACTAGTCTTGGACCTAATTGAAATTTGACAGCGCGCTCGAATATATGGATAATTTAAGAAGTTGATGCGATGCCTTATGGGCATTGATCTTCAATTTGACCGATTAACTATTTTCTGCATTCGTTAACCGAAAACCTTTCTGCAACTATATACTTTTGCCGAGTTTTCTATGGAATATTCCTGCGGCCCCTAAGTGTTCGTACTTTGCACAAGTGATTTTGAAGCTAGTCAGAGTGATCGTAGCCTAATGGTAATGTAAAAATATTGTCTGAAAGAATTCCAGACTGTACATGTGGGCTGAGATGGACAAGTGTGTGCATCGCAATGAATTACTATTAAATCTAACATAACTTGAAGCCACATTACATAGGGCAAGTCTTAGAGTTGCACAGGCGAGCTATTAGACGTGTTCGCTCGTCTTGATGATAGCTTAGTGAGCGGTTTATTTGCCTTTAGAGACGTGTAATGGTCTGGGTTCGAATCAGGGAGTGCTGGAAATGGAATGCCGTACATAGAATTCGAAACATTTAGATAAATTAACTCAGCTTTATATGTAGATAGAATTGTATGGTTTCTGTCTGTGATATTCACTATATCATTACAGAACTTGCCTTAGGTAACGGTAATAGTACTAGCTACCCCCTAAGGATGTCTACAGGCATTCTCACATTAACACGTCACACATCCTTGGACCTTTTGCGAGAGTTCATTGATCCGCAACAGTGTTACAATACGAATTAAAACAATGTGTCCAGATACTGCAGTGCCACTACGAGCGACTGTTACAGCAGCAACCGTCGCGGCAGTAACCTATTTGGCTTGACGTCCCAGAGAGGCACATTCGCATGCCTGATTGGGTTCATACAAAGATTCAGCCAAGAGATAACCTCCGCTTCCGTTGCCATCTGACCCGTAAACTCGGTCCTACAAGTTCGATGGAATCGACGGCGCGCTACTCTTCCGTCATCGCTGAGGAACCGGTTGAGCCAACAACCGACCTGGCTCGACCAGCGCCTAGATGTACAATAACGGCCAAAAGAGCTAACGCCAGGTTTAATATCTGTGAATAGCTACGCTGTGGTGATGGTGTTGGCGCGAGTGTCTCTACGATACTGGCGCCATTACTGGCCAGCTACACTGGCAGCGATCGAAAGACACCGACTCCTCACGCTTTATAAGCAGGATCAGGGCGCGACATTCAAAAACAATAGAAAAGGGCCCAAAAAACAAGCAGGCGACGGGACGCCTAGCAGCGGCGGCGCTTCCTATAATAGCCCCGTCACACTAGCCTGTCTTTTTTTATTCGTTTTAGTAATGTGGCGATTCAACGAAAAAAACAATTGTCATTCTGCCATAGAGGTCGTCGGCGTCGAAGGTCGCCTGTCGGTTTCACGGTGGTACAAAGTGGCTGCGGCCTGCGCCGAACTAGAACTATACCCCCTAATTGCCCTCCTGAACTTTCTGAGGCCGACCGATCGAAGGATCATTGTACGCAGTGCATTTGCGTGCATGCTAGGTATATCTGTTTGATCGTATTTGTTTACGTATGCTATGTGAGAGAGGTCGAAGACACGACAAGCGACAATGTCGTTTCATGACTTCTTTCAAGTAATACCAGTGCTACGAACTATGACGCTGGAACAGAGAGAAAAGTAGAAAATGAATTGTGGTGTCTATGCAGATTTGTGGGGGCGCTTTTTTTTTTTTGTAAGTGTTGTATGTACTAAAGCGTGCGACAAATAGGCACAATAGAACAGCACAAGACGTAGTAACACCGTCAGGCCGCTGCTACTGTCGGCAACAGTCACACAGAAAAGTAATAAAAGCGACGAGAGATGCTGCAGCGACGATTCTAGAAGTGAATATGTACACCCACGCGTGGCTTTCTCTGGAGCGTGACGTCAGCTTTCGAAACAAATGTTCTAAGCAAATGAAGAATAAAAGCTATCGACTTCTGACTGCAGAACGGATCGGCTGAGTTGGATATTGGGTTTCGTTTAAAGGTTAAAGGTGGGTTCCTACGACGAACGGCGGCTTACGACGATGACAAGACATCAACAACAAGCGGAGATCTGGGATATTTTCATCTACACGTATACTCTTTTACCAGCATTACGATATGGACCTCGAACGACAGTCACATTAAAAATACAACAGAACAGAATTGAAGAACTGCTACAAATGTACGGAAAGAAATTATTAAGGGGACAAGGGAATTTTGCAACAGATCCATATTGTCACGTGATGTTTCCCTGCTGGTTCCATGTGATG